AAAGAGCTTAAGGAACAGCCTATTACCTTCCATAGAGTGATGTCTGATGCAATCCCTTAGCTTCCCACAAGTTCCTGGCCTTGCTTTTCCTTGCTTCTTCAAGTGCTTCCTTCCAAGGTTACTCCTTCAAGCTGGAATCGGGACGTTACAGTAACCCTAGACTTTCCCACACTATAAAAGGAACCATATAGTCACGAAAATCGGCTCCCATGCATTCTAAGAAGAGTAGTCACCAAAATCGGCTCCTATATATTCTAAGAAGAGTAGTCACCAAAATCGGCTCCCATGCATTCTAAGAAGAGTCATAACCTATTTTGAGCTACTTAGACACTTCTCATATGCCTCCTTTTTCACTTGGTGTTTGTGACACATTAGAGGCATCACATTTGAGGTGCTAAAGCTTTTGAAGGCCAATAACTCTAAGTTACACTAAGAGTATTCATTTACTTTGGTTTTATGTTGTATATCTCAAATTTTTGTATGCTAGTTTAGTCTTTATGCTTTGGAAACAATATAGCATGTATAATAGAGAAAACTTAGATCTAAAGCATCTAGGGTTGCATGTGCACCATAGGAGTGTTATAGTGCTAAAAAACAAACATTTATATGTTTGAAGCTTTACCTTGTGATGGTGTGTATGAAACTATGATTTGTGTTGATAGCTTAAGTAATAATGTTTTTCATATTGATTTGTCTAATTGTTTAGACAAGGCATGATTTTGGCATTATCTTCTTGGTCACATTAATAAGAAATGCATCATCCAAATCCATAATGATGGGGTATTGGAATCATTTGACTTAAGGTTGGATGATGAATGTGAATATTGTCTTTTGAGGAAGATGACAAAATCACCTTTCACTGGATCTTGTGAAAGAGGTGAGGGTTTGTTGGATCTCATACACACAGATATGCATGGACCTTTTAGATCCACTACAAAGGATGCTAATCAATTTTATGTGACATTTAGAGTTGAATATAACCGATATGGTTATATCTACTTAATCAAGCATAAATCAGAAACCTTTGAAAAGTTCAAAGAGTTTAAACATCAAGTCGAGAATAAATTAGGCAAGAAGATAAAGATGATACAATCTTCCTATTTCTTTTTGGAGGTATGCCTTAGAGACAACCACCCATATTCTTAATCTTGTCCCTACCAAGAAGGTTTCCAAAACACCTCATGAGATGTGGACATGGAAAGTTCTATTGTTAGCACATATTAAGTTCTAGGGTTGTGAAGCTTTTGTTAGACGAAAGACTCATGACAAGCTAGAACCTAGAAGTGAGAGATGTTTTTTCATTGATTACCCATAAAAGACTTTTGGATATTTGTTTTATAGACCTAGTGAGAACATGGTTTTTGTAGTACGAAGAGCGGTCTTTCTCAAGAGAGAGCTCATATGCAAAGAGGACAGTGAGAATGTAATTGAACTTGAAGAGATTTAAGATTCAACCAATAAAGAAACCTTAGAAGATACTAGTTCTCAACCAAAGGATGGGACTCCTGTTGAACCCATTGACAATTCGTTACCTCTTCGTCGATCTAGTAGAGTTAGCATGCCAACAACATTCTATGGTTTCCATATAACATCTGATGGTGAAATGTTTATTAGTGATGGTATACTGGTTAATTTGGATGAACTAGCTAACTACAAGGAAGTGATGGCAGGCCCTAAAGCTGCCAAGTGGAAATAGGCAATGGACAGTGAGATCAAGTCCATGTATGATAACCAAGTTTGGAATTTTGTTGATCAAGAATCTGGTTAAAATACAGTTGGTTGTAAATAGATCTTCAAGAAGAAGACTGACATTGATGGAAAGATACTCACTTTTAACGCTCGCTTGTTGCAAAGGGCTTTACTCAAACCCTAGGCACTGTCTATATGACACCTTCTCACCAATGGCCAAGATAAAGTCTATTTGGATAATACTCGCCATAGCTGCCTTTCATTATTATGAAATATGGCAGATGGATGTTAAAACCACTTTCCTTAATGGGAAGTTGGCTAAGGATGTTTACATTAGTCAGCCAGAGGGTTTTGTAGATGTAAAGTTTCCTAATAGGGTGTGTAAGCTTGAGAAATCCATATATGGATTAAAATAAGTGTCTCGTAGTTGGAATCTTTGCTTCTATGAGAATGTCAAAGAATTTGGTTTCTATGGGAGTGAAGATGAGTCATATGTGTATGTCAAGGCTAGTGGGAGTATAGTAACCTTTCTAGTATTGTATGTTGATGGCATACTCCTTATGGAAACAACATTCCAACTTTTCAAGAAGTAAAGTCTTGGTTTGGAAAGTGTTTTTCTATGAAGGGTCTAGGAGAGGCAACATATATTCTTGGAATAAGAATCTTAAGGGATAGAAAGAAAAGAATAATTGGTCTTAGTCAAAGTACTTATCTAGATAAGGTATTAAAACATTTTAGTATGGAGAATTCCAAGAAAGGAGAGCTACCTATCCAGAGTAATGTCAAGTTGAGTAAGACTCAAATCCTTAGTAAATATAAAGAGATAAATGAAATGAGTAGAGTCTCATATGCTTCATCTGTAGGATCGATCATGTATGATATGACATGTACTCGCCCTGATGCGTCTTTTGCTTTAAGCATGGTTAGTTGCTTTCAGGGAAATCCTGGCAGAGCTCATTAGACAACATTGAAGAACATTCTTAAGTATCTGCAAATGGCAAAGGATCTGATTCTAGTTTTTGGTGGTAGTGATACATTAAAATTTAGTGGGTATAGTGACGCTAGCTTTCAAACAGATAGAGATAATCTTCGTTCTAGATTTGGTTGGGTGTTTCTGTTAAATGGAGGAGTAGTCACTTGGTAAAGTTCCAAGAAAGACATGGTGGCTGATTCTAATTGTGAACCAGAGTATATAACAGTGAGTGAAGCATCAAAGGAAGTGGCTTGGATGAAGAATTTTATCGGTGATCTCGGAATAGTTCTGACCGTTCAGGAGCCAATGAAACTTTCATATGATAATGAAGGAGCAATTTCCTTGAACAGAGAACTGAAAGATCATGGTAAATGAAGATATATCGATAGATAGTAATCATTATATCAGTCATAGAGTTGAAGAAGGACATCTCATAGTAAAAAGAGTTTTCTCATAAGATAATCCTGCAGATCCTCTCACAAAGGCTCTGAGTAGGGTTAAACATAGTCAACATGCTAGAAGTATTGGTTTGAGAGATGATATCAGTTTTAATAGTTAGATGATTAGTTTGAAACTTGTAATAAAATAAATATAATTGATTTTGGTGATTAAATAACAAAGATCGTTTATGAGTATTGTTTACTACCTTTGTCAACTATTTATTATTGTGTTTCGTTTTGCATGTTTTACCTAATGAGACTACTTAATATCAACTTAATTGAATTAGGTATCTTCCATAAGTCTAAGTTTATCCCTACACTAGATTACAGTGCATGAAACCAACTTTTTTAATACCAACTTAAAGCACTTCATATTGTCCAGATTTGAAGTCTCAACTCCAGGGCAAACTCAAACAACTCTATAACTCAAAGAAGGATGGAAAAAGGTCCTAAACTCCCTAGAAAATAGATCTAACAAAACAACGAGCAAGGTGGTAGCTTTTTACCTTCAAATAGAAGCTAAGAATGAATGAACCCCGTATCCAAGAGCTCCCTCTCGTCCCAAGCCTTTTGCTACTCAATCTTCCTCCAAAAATGCATTAAAATATGCATTATTAGCATCTATTTCTCTCACACAAGGATATAGCTCGATTAGGGTTTCTCTCAGAGTGTTAAGATGATAAGGGAGGCGGAAATGAAGGTTTAAGGTCCTTTAAATATGACACAAACCCATAAAATTAGGGTTTTCTCACTCAATACCTACTCGTTGAGTTTGGGTCCTCCAACTCGTCGATTAGACTCTAAAAATCACGCGGCCATTAACTCCTCTACTCGGCGAGTTGGGGCATCCAACTCGTCGAGTTCCTCTGACATTATGAATGTAAATTAATTAAATATTATACCTAGGAGTCAGGAGGTTACAATAACTTTGATGTTTTGCACTTGGTTTCTTCATGAACATGTGCATAGGTTGTCTTGTGTGACCATATGAAGTTGGGTATCAAAGTAAGGTGTTAAGGTGATATGATGGTAGTTTAGACATGCCTCACTTGTAAACTTGGGCTAGCTATCCATCGTGTGGTACTTGTATGATAACTCGTATGTATATTGTTTGATGGGGAGGTCGGCCCATTAAGATATCATTATAGAGAAATGTATCCACTTAGTTACATTGTGAGGTGGTATATTCAACTATTTTCCACTTTGTCCTCGAGTTTAAAACTGATAGGAACCCCTTCATTTCATTTCCTTCCCTTTCATTCTTCATCATCTCCAATTAGGAGGATATATTTTAAGAGGAAAATCCCCTATTGTCCTTCCATTCCCTTTCTTCCTCATCCTTAAACGAAATTCAAGAACACATAACATTATATTTCATTTCCTTCCCTCCTTAAAAGATCTCAAGAACACAGTTTCCTTAAAAGAACAATCGAAATAACAGTTGAGACGAGAGGAAACTGTAGATGGCTTAGTTTCATAGGAAAAAATGAAGAAAATATATTTATATCAATGTTCTAAATAATGTAAGGCGTGACTTGACGGAAATATCAAGTCTCAAGCTTTTTCAAGCTGTGGCGAGCTATGTCGTTTGTAAAACATAATTTAAGGCGACAATTTTATATATAATTAATAAATTTATATATATTTATACTATTATTCATTTTTATATACATATATGACTTAAGATGACATTTTATCAAAACTCGACGATAAATATATGCCTTAAAATGTCATCACGAACTTTTTAAAATATTGATTTTTATAGACTACAATAAAATTATAGCCGGAAACAAGACAACATATAAATTAGTCTTGTCTGCGGACTTGTTGACTATTTTTTCTTTTACAAAATCACATTAAAAAATGACTTGATTTTTAATTTTCTCCTATTTTTATATGCCAAGTAAAGGCTAAAGAGTAACCGATGTCAAAAAGACGAATGGGTGGAACACATTTATAAGACTTAACAATTCAGGCTGCCTACCAACCCCCCAGCTTTTTCCAACCGCCGTAAAAGGAGATACGGAAGGAATTTCTCCCTTTCCTTCTCCAATGGCAGAGAAACTTGATGGAAACCCATCAAACCAGACCCAAAGAAAACCAGCAATCCCTGCATATGTAAAAGCCATATCGGGTTCACTCGGCGGAATTGTCGAGGCATCTTGTCTCCAACCCATCGATGTCATCAAGACCCGTTTACAACTGGATCGGGTCGGTTACTACAAGGGTATTCTTCATTGCGGCAGCACCACTGTCACAAACGAAGGCGTCCGTGCTCTCTGGAAGGGTTTGACACCCTTTGCCACCCACTTGACATTGAAGTATGCCCTACGGATGTTCTCCAATGCCGTGTTACAATCGGTATTTAAGGATTCCAACACCGGAAAGATTAGCGATGGTGGGAGGTTCCTTTCTGGGTTTGGTGCTGGTGTCATTGAAGCTCTTGTGATTGTTACCCCATTTGAGGTGAGGTTAGTCGAATCTCCATTCGATTTTACACATGCAATTGCCTAAATTTTTTGTAGACTGTTTTTAATCTGTTTATATGCACTTCAGTTTGAATTTCCCCAATTAGCTCAATTATACTAATGTGTCATAGATCTACATACCCAATTAGTTTAAAATACCATTTCACTGTGCATGTTTGGCATTTGGTTCGTTGGATTTAGCTTTATATTTACAAAAAAAAAAAACTATAATTTAGCTTGGCTGCTTCTTCAATTGGCTAAATAGGATGAATGAAATGGCGTTTTAAATCGTATGGAGTCTATTTAGGGGATATAAAACAACGATTTGAGTTGATGAATGTTTACTGTTTTAACAATTATAGTGAAAAGTTAGAACACTGGAATATATAAAGAATGCTTTACCAGTTACCTTTTGGTTCTCTAGTAATAAACTAATAATAACACCTTTAAATGGAGGCCCTGTTACCTGTAAGTCGTTTATAAAATATAATGTTTATCATAGCTTTCTTCTTTTAAAAGGTAATCTACTTAATTGTAATACTATTATAGACAAATAACGTACTCATTTTGAGAGTATCATTTAAATTTTACTCAAGTTCCAAACGAGATTTCGGGTATTGTTTCTTTTTGACTTAATGGACTCAATAGGACAAGAGCTAAGTTGATAAACTATATATGAGTGTTTGAGTGTCTCCTTTTGACTTAATGGAAAAAAAATTAATAAAGAAAGTTATAGAAACAAGACTTTCCTCGATTGATTCCTAACTTTTACAAAATATCCTCATTTACTTGTTCATTCAGTTTCCATAAGTCTGCTGATATATTGTACTTTAAAAAATCCACCATATAGCAATGTCATCCAACTAAAAAGCAATTTTCACTACTATAATCGGGTAGTTTTTTCAAAGTATAATGCTGTAATAAGAAAAAAGTTGAAAGTCCAATGCAATAATTGGGTAAAATAGAAAATCCATTTTTCAGCATATAATGTCTTCAACAAGAAAAAAAGAGTTGAAAGTCCAATGCTATAATTGGGTAAAATTTTCGAAGCACAACGACTTAACAAGAAAAAAAAAATGAAAATCCGATGCTATATACTAGGATGCTATAATACACACACAATAAAAAAAACAAAAGTACATTGCTATTTCTTCCATTTATCCTTAAAATTTTCCTCAAATTTCAACTATACTTAACGCAGGTTGTAAAAATAAGATTACAACAACAAAAGGGACTAAGTCAAGAGCTTCTAAAATACAAAGGTCCAATCCATTGCGGGCGGTTAATCATCCGTGAGGAAGGCATACGCGGTCTCTGGGCCGGCGCTTCCCCAACCGTAATGCGAAATGGCACGAACCAAGCAGTCATGTTCACCGCCAAGAACACATTCGACGGGTTGTTATGGAGGAAACACGAAGGCGATGGAAAAGTCTTGCAACCCTGGCAATCGATGATATCTGGGTTCCTAGCTGGCACTGCGGGCCCCGTTTGCACTGGGCCTTTTGATGTTGTGAAAACAAGGCTAATGGCACAGAGTAAATTGGGAGGTGAAGGGAAGTATTATAAGGGGATGTTTGATGCAATTAAAAAGATTTATGGTGAGGAAGGGTTGTTTGCGTTGTGGAAGGGTTTGGTTCCACGGTTGATGAGGATACCACCCGGTCAGGCGATTATGTGGGGGGTGGCTGACCAGGTGATGGGGTTTTATGAGAAGAAATATGTTCATGAAATACCGTTACCCGCATGATTTTTTTTTTTTGTAATGTTTTGGTATTGGTTTTGTAACTTGGGAGGTTTTGTTTTGGTTTTGTAGACCAACATTGGTTTTAAGATGGAGCTAATTGCTAGAAATAATAATGTACTTTGATTTTTCTAGTTAAGGCGTTGTACTTTTAATTTTTTTTCTTATTAGGACACTGTACTTTGAGAAATCTAGTCGGTTGTAGCATCGATATATGCACTCTATGTTGTTGGCTGAATAAAAAAAAAAGTTGACAGTTAATGTTATAAATGAGTAACAAATTATTTAAAATGTTCAAAAGCACCAATATGTTAAAAGAAAATTATAAGGTAAATAACTTGAAAGTTTTGTTTAGAAAATACCCATATTGAATATTGATAGTATGTTTGTGACTTTGTGCTTACCTTGTGTAGTATTTTAAATGGAAAGGTATTTTCTGAATATCTATAGTTTGTCCCTTTTTATGATATTAACCCAGAACTACATCTCAAATAGTTTATTCCCAATAGTATATTTGCTGTTTTATGATGTTAGCCATTTAATTATATCAAAGTAGATATATAAAAAGAACATGAATTAAATTAATATAACAATGTAATGATACGTGTACATAAAACTGTAGATAAGGAAACCGTGTACAAAGTCAAATATGATATGCTTTGAACTTGAAGAGTAGTTCAATGTATTGCACTAAAAGTTAAAATCTAGACACCACCATATGAAAGTGAAACAAGCAATTTATTTAAAACGTGTTGAAATTTATATTATAAACTATAATATGTTTGTAGTCGGTTAGTTTATAATAACGAAAATCAAATACAATACAAATCACCCGGTAAATGTACATAATAATAATAATAAAGTAATAAATATCTTCAAAGATGAGAGTAAGTGTACTTTTTTTTTTTTTTTTATAGTTTTACAATTATAATTATAAAATAATATTAATTATTATGAATTAAGAAATGAAAATACTCACCACCTTAACTAAAAAATTTTCTTTGACAAAGGAAGAAAAAATACGTTGTGAATATGAAATTGGACACGCATGATGCTCATGAAAGGGAAGGTTTTATTCTTTGGAATGTTTTATATTACTTTTTTAATCATCTTTTATTTTTTTGACATTCACATTACGCAAACTATTAAAAATGATTGTAAGTATTATATCACTAAGCATAAGCATTTTATGATTCATAAGACATATATTAATAATTAATAATCATAATACATTAAAATGTTAGCATCAATATAGTAATTTAGTATTTGGTTATAAAAATATTAAACTATATAATTTTGACTTTTTGACCATTAAAAATATTTAAAGCAGCTTAATTTGATAAAATAAAACTAAAATAGTTCAAAATATTAATAATTAATACCGTTTTCAAAATACTAATATTATTTACAGTTCATGTTTAGTTTCAATCACAAATCATTTCTTTAACATTCAAATCTGTTATAATATAAAGAAGTACATATTATAAATTAATAATTTAAATAATAATATTTCTTTAAATGAGACTCATCTATATCTGCCTATCTGCATGACTTTTCCGAGGGTGACTTTTATTTTAAGAATATTCACAAACATATCATTAATTTTGTTGATGTAAATTGTAAAAAATCGCATGTAGTGTATTGTGTTGTTTTGCATTTTATGTTATTTTACTAAGTCATTTTTTGTGAGAAGTGAAAATGTATAGACTTACTATATTTTTTGTTTGTTCCCTATAAATAGGGACTTAGGCTAGAAGTAGAGGACACGAATGCTAAAACTCTCTTCTGCTTATTCTGTAATCAGTCTTAATCAATATGAGATCTGATTAATATTTACTCTTTGTGTTCTTCATCTTTAATCATTCAAATCTATCTTTTCTTTTCTAAATTCTCGATAACAATTCTCATCAATTGGTATCAGAGCAGGATTCAAACTGCTTAGATCTGATTTTCGTATAAGAATCATTTGCTTTTTGAGTTACAAATTTACTCAAAATTTTCCGCGCATTTTTGGTTTTGAAAATCACTATTGATCTTCAGATTTGAATTGATTCTGTATTTGAATTGTTAAGTCGAGTAATCGATTAGTGATTTGTGATCAATTCATTTGATAAAATTCTGAAATTCATCAAGTTTTCAAGTTTTCGGATATTTTCTGTGTTCATCAATGGCGAACTTCAACATGAATACAATGACTTCTTTCTCTCACTTGCTTAGTTCCTCAACCAAAATTCCGATTTTAATTCCAAATACTATGATCAGTGGGCTGATAGAATGGAAGATTACTTAAATGGAATTGATGAAGAACTTTGGAAGTGTATCGACGGAACAGTACAAGCTCCTGCTAATGTTCAACCAATTGGATCATCCACTGCATCTACTGATGTTGAAGAACAACGAAATCGACTGAAGAATAATGAAAAGAAATGCATGAGAGAACTAAGAGGTGCTCTACCTCCTGTGGTTTACAATTATATTCGTAGTTGTAAAACAACCAAAGATATCTAGAATACTCTAAAAGAAAAGTATCAAGGTAGCGAAAAGATGAAGATCAACTCTGTGAAACAATGTCTAGTTGAACTGAAGGAATTCAGACAAAACGAATGCTAAAACTCTCTTCTGCTTATTCTGTAATCAGTCTTAATCAATATGAGATCTGATTAATATTTACTCTTTGTGTTCTTCATCTTTAATCATTCAAATCTATCTTTTCTTTTCTAAATTCTCGATAACAATTCTCATCAATTGGTATCAGAGCAGACAACAAACAATATGACTTCACAGTAGCTGACTTTCCATTGATGAACTGCAATGATTTAATTCAAGTAGCACTGATCCTGAAGCATATGGAAGAAAACAATCTTAAAGGCTCTGATACATATGTATTCAAGGTTGGCTTCGCACATGTGAAGACATTCATCGATAACTATTTCGATTGTTTAGCTCTTACAAATGAAGAATTAGCAAATGTGCTGGGAAGGGAAGTAAAAGTTCCATGGGAGGAGACTTTGACTCAATCTGCTTTGTCAAAGTATGCTGTTGGTGAAATATGCCTGAAACCATTTGTCATGGTCTTTTCTGGAAGGGATACAAAAGGAAATCCGAAGAAGTTTTTGTTCAAAGTCTCAGAGATTGAAAGATATAATTCTTCGCAATATACGCACTTCATAGTACGTATGAATAATTGCAAGAAGAATAACGAAGGAGACAAGAAAGATCTGAAGAAGGTGATCTCCTGGTATGGAGAAGTGCGAAGGACAATTCACTCTGCAATTTAAAAGCTTTTGAGTTGAATTGCATCGACTGTTTACAAAGGGGGAGAATGTTGATGTAAATTGTAAAAAGTCGCATATAGTGTATTGTGTTGTTTCGCATTTTATGTTATTTTACTAAGTCATTTTTTGTGCGAAGTGAAAATGTATAGACTTACTATATTTTTTGTTTGTTCCCTATAAATAGGGACTTAGGCTAGAAGTAGAGGACACGAATGCTAAAACTCTCTTCTGCTTATTCTGTAATCAGTCTTAATCAATATGAGATCTGATTAATATTTACTCTTTGTGTTCTTCATCTTTAATCATTCAAATCTATCTTTTCTTTTCTAAATTCTCGATAACAATTATCATCAAATTTGATATCTAACAAAAGAAAATTTAAATATTTTTCTGTATTTTCTTTCAAATTATTTTCTTATTTATATAAGATAATGATATATGAAATCCATTAATTTTCTATTTTGATTATATCTCTTGATTTTGATATATGTTTTGATAAGTGAGTAAAAAGAATAAATAGGAAGATCTTAACAAAATCACTGGTCATTTAATTCTCTATTTTAATTATATCTCTTGATTTGAGATATGTTTTGATAAGTGAGTAAAAGAATAAATAGGAAGAAAATCACTGTCATTTGATGTTCTGAAAACAAGGCTAATGGCACAAATTAAATAGGTAGGTGAGTTGAAAGTATTATTATAGGAGGTCTACCCATTTAAAAACTTGATATATATATATATATATATATATATATATATATATATATATATATATATATATATATATATATATATATATATATATATATATATATATATATATATATATGTTCAGGTTCATTTGAGATCATTTTAATTTTGTGAGACCGTGAGATAAAATCTAAAAATAATTTTAAAATGCAAAATAAATGGAAAAATCTAAAATTTCTTTTTTAAATAATATTTTCGGAACTTGAATTAACAAAAAAAATATAAAAAAATTAAAAAAAAAATTCTTTTTTTTTTTTTTTTTTTTTTATAAATACGTGAAATATTTTAATAGAATATTACACTGACATATTCTAAAAACTATTTTTAAAATGGAAAATAAATGGAAAAATCTAAAAATTCTTTTTTTAAATATTATTTCCGGAACTTGAATTAACTAAAGAAAAATTTAAAAAAAATAAAAAAAAAATCCCGTTTTTTTTTTTTAAAATACGTGAAATATTCTAATAGAATATTACACTATACATATTCTAAAAAATAATTTTAAAATGCAAAATAAATGAAAAAATCCAAAAATTCTTTTTTTAAATAATATTTTCGGAACTTAAATTAACTAAAAAAATAATAAAATAAAAAAAAATGCGTCTCACGGTCTCACAAAATTAGACCGTCTCACATGAACCTAACTCTCTCTCTCTCTCTCTCTCTCTCTCTTTCTCTCTCTCTCTCTCTCTCTATATATATATATATATATATATATATATATATATATGTGTGTGTGTGTTTTACATTTATTGTATGCTAAATGCACCAATATAAATTAAGTAAATTAACTAATTATTGAACTATATATATATATATATATATATATATATATATATATATATATATATTAAATGATTTCTATAATTGTATGTATATTAAATGGTATCTACAATTATAATTTTTTTTTATTAAAACTAATTAAATTCATCATTAATGTCAGCAATAAAATTCTTTCAAAATGAATTTGTATCTAGATTTTCATGTATGTGGTCGTGTTTTGTTTATGGACCTATTTACTTAAAATACAACAAAGTTGTATAAAAAACTCCATTTCCCCTTCAATTGCCTTTTAATAATAATTGCAATTATAAAAAAGGCCAACTTACTTGCTCCATATTATTTTGAAACTTCCAAGTTTTTTCACATTCTTTGTAATAATGGTTTTAAATTGATTAATTACATTTTAATTTAATATAAGAACTCAACTTTCAACTAATTAACCACAAACC